GCTCGTAACCGGTATAGACGCCAGGAATTTTCACCACAGGTCCTGGGGTCTCCGTGCTGTCACTTTCGACCTCGACTTGCGCGCAATTGAAATATAACTCTGCCCCGCCAAACTCCCCAGCTCCATGAAGCGCAATGTGTTCGATTCGAACGAGATACTGACCAGCAGGGACTTCCTTCGGAAGCGTGAAGGTAAAGTTCGCCTTGTTAGTCACGCCCCATTCGATGCCATCACTGCCGAAGGAAGTTGGACCGAGTTCCCAGATCTTGAACCAGTCGCCGGAACCGTCGTACTCGCGAACATCCCCGGGCGCCTTCGACATATATACTTGCATCGGACCAGGATGAGAAATGAGGGCACCGAAGTCAGTTCCAAAACCGATCTCGTCGCCTGCTTTGACTTTGTATATATCGGTCTGAGATGCATAACTCATAGAGTTGGTATTGCAGCGAAGGTCGGTACTGTCGTAGTTCCCCTTCCATGGCATATATCCCTGGGTATCCTCGCGTACATACTCGTAGTAATCAGTGAAGTTATCGTTATCGATGAAATAAGGAAAGAAATAGTGGCCGACAGTGCCAGGGACCAAGGTCACAGCGAGGGAGAGAGCGAGGTGAATTTGAGACCGCATTACAAATGGCTTGAAAATTGTATCTCAGAAAGAACGGATCAAGTTAACTACCAGCGTTAACCCAGAAATAGAACTAAAAGAATGAACGAATAAAGAGAAATGAAGAAAGTGATATGGGTTGTGTTTAGACACTGGGTAAATAGCGGGAGTGGCTACTATTTGACTTCTCTACCACTACGGGGGAGGAGACAGAAATCTCCGCCAGCAGGTATTTATCCGCCGAGGTGAGGGTAAGGTCTTGGTTAGCTTACACCCTTCGGTAAATAATGCCGATGTTCATGGAGCAGCGACATTATGATGTTCGCTTAGACTAAAGCGCTTACATCTGAAACTGCCGGCGCTCCAGCTAGATGCCGAACCTCTTGGAAGTCGGCCCGGATAGGGCTAGGCTAAGTGATAGTCCCAGAACTTGCATAAGGCGTGTGGAGATGGACCCATGTCTAATAAAATTGCGCCGTTTACTGAACGTTGTCTACGTGTCGATTCCCTGACACCATACAGAAACTTGTTCACATTATTTAGATATTAGAACGTTGGATCGTTAATCGTCCCATCTCACATGAGGTGTTCATTCAAAACAAGATTCGTCAACTTCATCCCAATTATTAACGTATCCGGCATATTATAACCTTAAGAGTTTGTATAAGCCTAGGGATCCTATGGGTCTAAGATAACATGGTATCGCTTAGAAATTAGACGATAATTGTAGACCCGACTAGTTCACTTTGATAATAACATCCTTCAACTTAATAATACTTACTAGATTTACTTGTTTCCACCTCAAGTACTCTATGTATCGCAAGAAATCATTTTACCATCCAAATATAATTATATAACCAAATTAAGGTTTCAGGAGCCAAGCTAATGAATTTCAAGGTCCAAGGAAGCCATGTATGATTTCAAAATAGTCAGAAATCTCTATAAGATCAATCATTCGCTCACTGGGGGTAGAATCCATTGCCAGCATATTTACGAGGCCAAAGCAGTTTGTTGTTGCAATGTCAAAGTACCAGTTACTGTTGAAGCCTTAGGCACGGCAATCACATGAGTGTCATGCGTTTCTTTGTGTTATACCTCCATAGCTTCAACTATTCCTAGATAGCTCTAAGTACAATAATAAGAACAGTTTTTCAACTTGTTCCAATCGTTTTTAGTTACGTACTATTATATCTCCTGCAAACGCTCCTAGATATCCGGATAGGTGAGACAAGCTAGCTTAACAGAAAGGCAGATCTTCTCAAAAGGCGTTCGTATACTCGATGCATGGACAAGAAGCACAAGCATACCAGTCACCAGAAAGGTTCAGAGTCAAGGCTTTTTTCTTTTTTTGTTTTTTTTTTTTTGTATCATGAAGAAGATAGTGGCGGAGAAACGTTGTCAGGTATGAGCCAGGTATCGAGAGCAAGTCGATCCTATTTATGTTTATGTATTAAAATTGGCGTTTATGACCGTTTACAGATGAAGAACCAGGCTGAGAACATGGATAGTTAAGAGCTTTATGATTAGTCCTTTAACGTACACAAAAAACATCTACAGCCCGGATGGTCTAGTGGTATGATTCGCGCTTAGGGATATAACCCAAAGCATCAATTGCGCGAGGTCCCCGGTTCGATCCCGGGTTCGGGCCTTTCTTTTTGAACTTGTTTTTTTTTTTTTTAGTCCGCCAGCATGCCCCTTCCTATAATTCAGTCTTCCCTCCACAATGGTAAAGCTGTGCGTCATGGCCTTATCAGTCAGAGTATATCCCCTAACGGACGATATGCCCAACCTCTTTCAACTGGAAGCTTCCCATCCTGTCCCATCAAATGGCACTGATTCCCCTCGTTTCCTCAACATTACTATAAACAATATGTTAGCCTAGCCTGGTTGAATTAATCTTGCTACAATCCTTCACTGTTACAGCTAGACGGCTCTTTATTCTAGATGTGTCAGCCTTATACCCAACCCAGTATACGGTTGTAACTGTAGCAATGGTAATGGTGACCAAATGCACATTAACACCGTACACCACCAAAAGCTTCAATGATTATGACGATGCCTGAGAAATTTCTATTCACATTACAAGACTTCTTATTAATACAGTTTCTTTCATTTCCTGCTTTTCTGTTAATGCTCCCACCATCGAACAGAATACTATATGGATTCTTTATTGGGGGTAGTTTCATGGCAATAAAGCTATGGCAGTGGGTTTGTTTGTTTTGCTTACTTTGTTGTTCTACGAAGCTCCTCCTCCTTATGTTATCTCGTTGAGTGGAGCCTGTATTCTTACCGCAGTATGTCCGCTATAAGAAGTGTTTAAAAACCTATTCGCCCTATATGTTCGGCAGGGATGTGATTACATATCGACTGTAGTATCCTTGGCCTAAAGAGATACAATATATACTAGCTAGAACAACCAGCTAAGAGACATTTCCATAGCCACCATATAGGCGGTAAGCATGAATTAGCATGGCTAATGGCGTTATTAAAATGCAAAATTCGCTACAGGGCAGGCAACTCCCGATATAAGTTTACTGTCGGGCCTTATTGCAAATTACTGCCATACCATACTTGATTAAACTACCATTGAATTTCCCGAAATCAGTAAGTGGAAATTTTAGCCGTTTTTGTGTTAATGCGGAATCATATGTCTTATAACCCATTTACTCTGTGTTAAACCTTGTTGAACGTAGCAGCAAATTCAGCACTAAGCTTTGCGTGTAGCTAATCTAGTAACAATAAATGAAGGTGTCAGGATAGTCGTGAAGATGAAGGATAGCAGAGCAGAAGGTAGAAGAGAAGTAGGTCTCACACGTCGCCTTGACAAAGAGGCTGATCTAGCTATGCGCGCGACGTATCTCGGTTCTGGTCATGACAAAAGTTTAGAACCTTTTGGTCTTCTGGCTTTCTGGGTGTATAGGCCTGGACACGTCCTATGAGAGACAGGAGACTTAGTTAAATATTACGGTGGATACTATAATAAGAGTGCAGTATTGATTCGACGAGATAAGGAGGCTGATAGATCAGTAAAAAGGCAAAGCAAGGGAAATAAACATAACCAATGGGTTCTTCTCCCTTGTATAGGCATAATCTGAGCACACAAATATTAACAGCCCGGATGGTCTAGTGGTATGATTCGCGCTTAGGGATATAACCCAAAGCATCAATTGCGCGAGGTCCCCGGTTCGATCCCGGGTTCGGGCCTATTTTTTTTACTATATTCATTATTCTTTATAATAGAATTGGAGGTTCTGTTCTCTTAGGTTGAGATAAGTATGTCTTTAATTCTTTGATCTTTCTTTTTGTGGAAGACTATAAATGTATGTCTAAGCCTGTATTGCTACACTAGTAAAGGAGGAATTAAGCCCTATTTGTTTCAATTCAGCGTTGTTTTGAATTATCTGTGGAAAGTTTTGGGATATATCCACCCAGGATAGATGCAGTGCTGTTGGATAGAGGTACTCTAGTGATCATGTCGGGGCCCTAATTTGTTACCGTCCTCTGGCTCTAAGTGTATATCTGCCCAATCCGCGCTATTGATCGAGTCATTAGGGGGTCATTCGTGTCCAGTATATACCGAATCTTAGGAAACAAATGCTAGTGTAAACCCGCATTATGTTGCTTGATGGGTAAGTATCCGGTACTTATTGCTAGACCAAAGCCTCCTTGAAGGAGACAGTATTTAACTACAGCATCAATATTAACAACCGCTTAGATTACTTAAATACGCAAAGAAACACGACTGTTCTGATGGCCTTTTGGAACGGAGGACTAGTATACGGGGTAGAGGACCCGCTAATTAGGTAAAGACACGTTGGTAAAGCAATAGGAAAGCAACTGAAGTTCCGATATTAAGTCTAATACAAAAGAGACTGATTCTTGTTCTGCTATACTAGTTAGAACAAGCCCCTTTATACCCAGGGGCCAACCCCTTCTCAGGATCGACTCGGTATTGAGAAGTCAACCAAAAGGTCATCCGACCATCTCTTTGGACTGGTTCGATACTGCACGTTGGACCAGGTATTGTCTGCAGGTATTCGTTACCCGGTGCAAAGTCCTTGGTATACCAGCTCTGCAGTCTCGCTAGGGATCCCGTGACATAACCATTCCTATAGGCTAATTCTATACTGTACGGGTGACCAGGATGATTTCTGTATATTGAACCAGGTATATGTTCTGTCTGGAGATGCTCGGTGCGCGAGACAAAATTCTTATTCTCGGTACACCGGCTCTACAGCCTCGTTAGGTATTGATTCTAATACACTTACAGTCTTCCACAGAAAGAAAGATCAAAGAATAAAAAAATGTACTTATTTTACTTAAACTTAAGAAAACAGAACCTCCAATTCTGCTATATTAGAATAATGAAATTGGTAAAAAAAAAAAGGTAGGCCCGAACCCGGGATCGAACCGGGGACCTCGCGCAATTGATGCTTTGGGTTATATCCCTAAGCGCGAATCATACCACTAGACCATCCGGGCTGTTGATATTTGTGTGCTCAGATTATGCCTATACGAGCGAGATGTCCTTAGCCTATCATTAACACCCAAGCACATTCTCTTTCACCTGCATGTCTTTTTCATACATCTCCACAGGCTATAAACCTGGTAGCCACGGCTTATTAATTTAGCTATTCTCTTGACTATCAGCTACCTTTTCTCAGCAAGGAAATCACGTTTTCTGGGCGGGAACTACGGTTTGTTGACTTTACCAGGTGAAGACATTCGACAGTCCAGTTTAATTTTTTACATCACATACCCACACTCTCTTTAAAGTGAGAGCAAGCTGTCAAATGTACTATTACTTGACACCTAACGCAACCAGTGTTTTTTGAAAAACTAACTATAAATGAAGAGTTAAACGAGGCCAAGTTCAAAGCTTTGTTGTACCGATATTCTATCAGATACACATCCCAGAAGATGAAGGAAGGCCAATAGCCAAATCAACACTTATACTTCACTAGGCAGGTTCTGGTAAGGCCAGACCTTGTCCATCCACCCCCTCTGTGCTTCATCCTCTACTAAGAACATGAACTTTTCCTTCCATGCGTCATTTGTCGTCTGTGCAACTTCAGAATCCCCCAGACGAACAATCCCATCGCTGGGCAAGATACCTGAGTCATGAAACCCTTCCATGAGTCCCTCAGTGTAGTCACAGTTATCCGTTACTTCGTTCCGCAAACTTCTTTCTTCTTCCATGGAGGAGATAGGGCAATCGATTGCAGCCTGTAGATCCCGCCCAATAGTCTACTACATCTATCCATGACGAACGTGATCTAAAGACCTCTCTTGAGGACCAAGCACGACTTATCGATTTCACCGGTGAAATGACAGGCCATTTCCAAGTATGCCCCTAACTTATAGCAGCGTGGTGTCGTGCCTCCCTCATGGCGGTACAAACTTCGTGGTGGGTCTGGGATATCTTGAAATTATGATATAGAATTGGTTAAGCCCTCGTGTATACGTGTGCTTATACAAGGGGTAGGATAGTACAGTACAAAGAATAAAATGAAGTCCAAGCATTAACGGGAGTTCAGATTCATTTTATCCATACAGGAAATCACAACACTTCGTAGTTCTATAGGTCTTTTACAGAGTCGCTCCTTCGCAGTGGGCAAGGATTCCATACAAAAAAGGAGAGAAACATGGGTAGAAAAAAGAAAATGTAAAAAGACAAGCCGAACGCGGGGGTCGAACCCGCAACCTTGAGATACCGTGATGACTAAGAGTCTCACGCTCTACCGATTGAGCTAGCCCGGCTAGTTGTTGAGAATGCCATCTCTCTTATGCTAAATAAGCCTGTGTTAGTTTATTCTTAAGCCTTCACCCTCGCATTATAGCTAGAGCAGGGCTAGGAAAGCTGAGAGGTTAGGTTTGCTTTTTTTCGGTAGGATAAACTCGGTTTGTGATAGATTATGTAGTATTCAGTAGTTTTTTAGGATTGTAAACCGTTATACCCAATAATCGTAGTAGTATTGATGTTTGAAAGTTTTATTATTCTCTACGGAATACAAGGTGACTGGCCCACATATATATTTCCGCAACTTACTCTGGATATACCAACAACGTTACAATAAGATCAACCAAAATATCGTTTAAAATAAAATATAAACCAACAATAACCACCTGTACTATACAAAGGTAAATACTATATGAGTTAAACCATGGCAGGGCGCTGGAATATGACGTGCTATATCGAATCATTCAAACGAAACAGAATCGTCCCTATCATAGAAACCAACGGCAGCAACTTAATGGTAAATCCGACCGAGAAAGGGAAGCGAGAAGTCCTCCTCTGTCTCAAAATTCGAGAGAATGTTTTAGGCGAGCAACAAGAACGAGTATGTACCTATCCTTGAGGGTTATTTTACATCCCTTGTCGTTTAATTCTCCACCAACAAATATTTTATAAAAGAGTAAATTCACGTCGACGTCGTACCCTATGGTAAGTAGAATAGGACTCAAAGTAAAACTGACTTCTGCTAATATTGAAAGGATGTATTCGGTCCCTAAACTGATATATAGGCTATTATGAGTTCGCCAACCATCGCGGAAGGGAGTCTCAGTCTCGTATATTGCTCGAGCAAGCCGCCCAAAACAAAATGACGGCAATGGCCGTTGATCTTCCCTGCATAGCATCCAATATGATACTATATTACCATCAGTCTCAGTTAGTTAGCATCCGTGCACCTACCGATTATAATAAATGTTATTGAAATCAAGGTAGATTAGATTAGATTAAGTTTAACGAATCTAAATCCAAGTATGTATAGCTAAATTTCAATAGCCAAATTAATACGATACACGGGAGTTATACTATATTAGGTATAGTTTAAATTCTATTATAGAATACGCAAGTTAAATATATTAATCTAGAGTTGGAGTGGGTTTGGGTTAGGGGTGGATTCTAGATTCTGAACCTGAGCCTGACCCACGGGCCACCCTAGACGTGGCACGCTGGATTGTTTAGATAGTCTATCTGTATGCAGCCTTTGGAAGCGGAGGGGACCGAGGATTTACGCAAGACTGGAACATTAAAGGCTTTGCCGATGCGTCAATGGTAGAGAAGTATGGCCGTGTAAGCCAGATGTCAATCGTTGAAACCTGTTAGATTTATGTTCTCTAACCGGACTACACCATGTACAGCCTATCTCCTGTAGTCTCTATATGCTGAACTGAATGCTTAAAGGCTGCGGAGAGGAATAGACGTGTTATATTTATCGACACTAGTGTGCCTAAGGTGTTGGTTTAAACTGTCCCGTTGATGACCCTGCCTTCGTGTAAGCCAACAGCAGGGGGAAATGCATGCGATACACCAGAGGTTACTCTTCAGCGTATTGGAGCCCATGAGTAGTTGCATTGCATAGTATGTCGTATGGTTAGTGAGTATAGACTGATGAGCAAAGCTTACCCTAGAGAATATAATTTAACTTGACCCATGTAGATTTTTTGAAAATGACTAGATTTTGACCTGCGAACCTGTGCCCGGAATAAATTCCTATTTCTAAATATGTACCTGAAAATCAGTGGGTTCGGGGAAGGCTCGGGTCAGGTCCAGTGGGGATCCTGTGCCACTCCAGCGCTGACTTAGGGGTTTACTATAGGTCAAGCGCTATATACATAACTAAGATATGACTTCAAGAATCATCATTCAATAGAGATCCAACAGAGATATACATTCAGGGGTATGTGTATAAGCAGTTCGATCAGGCAGAACGGGCAGCGTGGGCTGACGCCGTGAGAGGTATAGAACATTAACAGAAGAATTAGCAAGAAAACAGGATACAGCCATTTTCAAATATCATTAGCACCGTAAACCACGGCTATAGCACGTCCACTTATAGCTTCTCGGGGACCTCCTCAGTCTCCTGGCCACTGTCACTGCTAAGGCCAAGCTCCTTCCTTCCACCCATGGTATGATCGTTGGTGTCCAAGCCCAGCTCGCGAGACTGTTGGACGATCTCTTCGAAGCTGAGCTTGGGCATGTCATGGGCAACCTTGAATGGCATCTTTCCTTCGACGTGGGCCCTGGCGTAGATGATGTCGACTTCCTCGAGCTCACGGCCAGCTGTTTCAACATAGAAGAAGAAGCCGAAGATCAAACCAACAAAGTTGAATAGTGCGAAGAAGAGATAGACACCCCATGGGCTCTGGCCTGCAAAAAGCGGCGTAAACATGACCACAGCAAAGTTGCAAATCCAGTTGGTACAGGTTGAGGCCGATGCGCCAACCGTGCGGGTACGGAGGGGGTTGATCTCCGGTGGGTAGATCCAAGGCAGTGGCAGAAGAGTAAATGCAAAGAAAGTAATAAAAAGAAAGATGCCAACCGCAGCACCCTTCGCATTCTCCTCTGTTTCCTTAATCAAGCAAGCAAATGTAATCACAAAGCTCAGTCCCTGACCTAGGAACCCAATCAAGTATAGATTCCGACGGCCGACCTTTTCAATCATAAAGAAGGATGGGATAGTGGCCAGGGCGTAAACCGAGGCAAATACTCCACCCATAATCAGAGACAGATATTTCTCCATATGGAGGTTCTCTTGGAATAGTAATGTTGAGTAGTAGATGGCAGCGTTGCAGCCAGTAAACTGCTGAAAGAACTGACCAGAGCAACCGATAAGAAGGCGCTGGAATTCCTGAGTTTTACCGAATGTAAATACTGTCTTCCAGTTTGATTCGGTGCCCTTGGAGGATTCCATGTCCATCTTTAAGAAGTTGAAGTCGTGAAGTACTTGGTCAGAATCCGGGGAGGCACCCTTCAGCTTGCCGAGAACTTCACAAGCTTCCTTATCCAGTCCTCTCATGACAAACCAAGACGGGGAATCCGGGAGCAGCAAGGCACCGGCGACCACAATCAGAGCGAAAAAGATCTGGAGCGCCACTGGGAATCGCCACTGGACGGTATCCGGAGCGTGAGAGATACCAAAGACCACCCAGTAGGCAATAAAGGTACCTCCGGCGATCATCGCACCCTCAAAACAGACCAGGAAGCCACGATTGTGAGCGCCGGAGCATTCTGACTGCCAGACGGGGATGGTGGCGGTATTCATACCATTGCCAATGCCCGATACCACCCGACCGATCACGAATTGACCGATTTCCCATTTCCCCGTGAAGCAGAGCGTTGTCAGTAAGGCACCAATGATCAGGACACTAGCACCCATGCCGATCAGACGAGTACGGCCGAGTCGGTCGCCGAAGAACATGGAGAACAATGCACCGAAGAAACAGCCAAGCTCATAACAGGAGGTGACAGCGCCACGGATGACGTCGATGTAGTGTTTTTGCGACGCAGTCGGATCGTCGGGCATCTTAAGAATTGGGAAGGAGTTCACAAACTCGTCGCCGTTGAGGAGGCCAGCCATCATGCCTTGATTGTAGCCAAAGAGCGCGAAGCCCATGACAGCAGCCATGGTGATGCTCAGCCGGAGCGGCCGACCACTCAAACCGCTGGTGGTCGTCCACATGTTGACGGTAGGAAC